TGCCAGCACATACACACAACTGACTGAGTGGATTGCATGGAATGTATGAGGTGCAAGTATCAGCTGTAGGCCGGAGGTGGCACTGACGACGTTTCTTCATTGCCATGTGACTCAATAGCATCTTCTTCCTCTCTCCTTTCGCCTTCAATGTTCAAACACACCTCCCTTATCACGAATTCCGTTGGCTCAGCAGCATCCCCCGTCTGATCCCCATCCTCAACCGCCACTTCACGCCTCTCCTCTCTTTCAGAAGATGTTCGGCGAGGTTCGTCATCTTCACTTGGCGGCAAGTCATAAACGGGGGGCGAGATTGGTAGGTACTCTGGTAGATGGTCCAAGGTTGTGGATTGTGTTACTCCGCGAAGCAGACTCCGCGATGCTGCGAGCAGGGATATCCGGTCTTCACGAGATTCAATGCCTAGTGCAATCAGGGATTGCGAGGTCATATGGATGACTGCGTAACCGTTCACCTCTTTGTCTAAAGTTTGTATTAGATTCTATGATTGTCTTTTGGTTAAACATACCCTTAAACACCTGAATAAGACTATCCTTTATCTCGCGCTCAGCCATCCACTGGCATACCCTCTCATTCGTCCAGCCTAAGATCTCGGTCCTCCTTGCTGAAGACTCCAGATGAGTTAGGTGAATCTCATTCGCTGATGCTGCTTGTGAAGTTTTTTGAAGGGCTTCATAGTAGTCTTTGTAAGCTTGCTTAAGGTACGCGATTAGGGCCGTCCTCCAAATGTACCCAACGGCGATGAAGATTATGAGGAGGAAGGCACTCGAAACTATACCCACTAACGACCATAATGGTAGTGTGGGGCTGCAATTTCTTTGCTCGGAATCCGGGATGCTGCAGAATGAATGTTGGTCGTGCCCTTCAACTCGAACAGAGAGAGACTTACTTCCTGAATTTTTCTATCTCACTGTCCTTGAAGCAATTCCCTGTAAAGCTGAATGTAAAACTATTGGATAATTTAGTATCCACTGATCGGATTGAATTCGAGGGAAACGAATTTTGTCACCTAGGCATAAATGAGATATCCGATAATGACCCGGAGAGTGAGTTGCGGGAAATATTCCTGTGTGGGAAGGTGAATTAATTTAAAAATGGGAATTATGGGTCACTGAGGCCCAACAAAGTATGTCTTTACGACCAAAAACTTGGGGAAAAAAAAAGAAACCAAAACTGCAGGTGGTGCTAACAAGTAAGAAAAATTCTTGAAGTACAACGAAGAGACAGAGCCTTCGAGTTCATTCCAGCTCAGATCCCTACGTTTAAAACACTCGGTGAGTAAATATCGATGAGTAGATATAGGAGCTAGGTACCCACAAGTATGTTAATGTCGTCGAAGAAAGCAAGGGAATCGATCCCGTCAAGCTGTTGTTAGACAGATCCCTATAAGAGGATGTTATAAGAAACCCAAGCTATAAAAATCCAGAATTTCCCGACCAGAACGGAAGATGTGGACTTGCAAGAGACTCACAGGTGTGTTAACTTCGTCAAGTCGGTGGGGAATTTAGGGAATTTTGATCCGGCTCTGTATGTGGATCCGAGTCGTCTAAGTTAATTACGGCGAGAGGTTTTAAAGGAGTTAATACATAGGTTCAAAGCAGTTTGAGTCGGGGAGAAGCACCAATATAAATAAACCACCAAATTTAGAACAGAATAGGAAGACGAGTGCACATATCAAAAAATGCAGGGAAACAATACCTACAGAGATCGTATCCACGGCGCTCGACTCATTTCAGCATCAAAAAAAGTGTTTTCAGCCAGGTCGTAGTTCCCAGATAAATCACTATTAAAGAGTCAATCACTCGTCGCGTCAAAGTACCATCGCATTATAGAGAAGAAAAAAAAAAAGCACATACAGATGCGATAAGCTTTTCAACTTCCCTAGCGCCATAGCGTCCCATAAATGGTTGTAACTTAGATCTCTAGATAAAACTCGTTAGAATTTTTGGTAGTGAAGAAGAACGGAGAGTGTAAGGGGGTGTTATTGGTAAACAAGAGTTTGGCTTTAAGAAACTCATGAAAAGGAACGCAACACCTACAATTCCACAATACTTCGCATTGAATAAATTCCTAGCGGTATACCTCCATAGATATTGCTGTTGCTTAGCGATCTAATCGGGAAAAGATAATTAGGCACTTTCCAGCTGAAGCTCAAATCAAAATCATGGCATTTTCCCTTTCTTCATCCAGAAAAGGAATCATGGCATTAACCCTGGCTTCATCCAGAAAAGATATAGCCGAACAAGGGTTATCGAACGGGAAAAAGGCGAGCGAGTCACAACATTGAACTTACAATGACCTCAAGAGTGGAAGCGCCGCTAACCTGAGGGTTAGGTCCTCAACCCTATTCCTTTGACTTATGAAAGTTTCCGTGCTGTATGGAATAGGCTCTATCTTGAGGTTTCTAAGTTTTACGAGTCAGACGATAAATATGTTCTCCATTGTCAATGTATCAAGCCAGAAGAAAGAAAAAAAAAATTAAAAACAGCTTACAAGTGTGTCAAATTCTTTAAGTTTTCCAGCTCCATAGGTACATTATCGGATGTCGCTGAGAAATCCAAAGTGACGTTGAAGAGATCACTTTTTTTGAGAAGAAGCATAGAGGTCACTTTCAAAAGCAAATATAATAAAAAAAATCAAGAGCGTTGACGACAAAAATAAACCCACAGTTTTTGTAAACTGGATAGAGGCGAAAGGGCAACAACAGTTGATGGTCCATGAGCTATTTGGCGGGCGGAATTCCCCAACGTAATAGACCTGGTCGCCGATGAGTTTCACAAGTAAGAGTCAGGGCTAGAGTAAAACGCATAAAGAAAGACAAAAGTATAACAACGCATTGAAACTTACAGCGACTGCATTCGGCCAGTGCTATCGCACTCAACCTTTGCTCCATAGCCAACTGCGAATGTGTTGCAACAGAGACCTCCATCCGACGGGGTGAAGGCGATAAACGGAAAAGCATCTGCAACGATTTGGCTTTGTGAAAGTCAGAGACTCAACCACGCTCCCTTGCGCATTACTGACCAGTCGGTTCGGCCGTCGGTGGGCGACCCTGTGGCCATCTGTGACAGGGTTGGGTTGGTGAGAGGAGACGATGAAAATGTCCTGAACTTTCAAGACATGTATGTATGGTTTGTGTTCTTGTATCACCCAGTTTGTGTTATCACGAAAATCCAACGGTAAAAGCCCTTTTCAGTATCCCACAGCTGCGCAGAGCAAGCCAGGACTTGTCATGAACCAGAATGCAAAGTGTGAATGTCTCATGAACGCTTGATTATGACAGCCAGCTCATTCCACGCGTAAATAGAAGAGCAATCAAAGAGCCGTGAACAAAACGTTGGGCTTAATAAAAGTAGGGATAATAAAGACAAAAGGAAAATACTGCAGATCCCCTCATCTTAAAAGAGAAGAACAACCGCGTAAGCAGACTGCCACCACATAGTTATGAATTCATGTCGTGATGCCTGTTTACAATGTCAGGGCAGTTGTTTTTAGCTTGAACTTGACGCATAACCAGAGGACTTGCAAATGCTGCCAATTACAGAAGGACAGTCTGTTTTTGATCTAACCTTTACCAGTCTTTTCTTTCATCGGATCAAAAGTGCGATAACATCCATTATTTTAGGAACATGTCAAGGCTCACAATATCCAGTTGTCTGTCTGTTATCTTTTGGACGATGGCGGTCTGAAGAGGTCACTAGCATAGGTTCAAGGAAGGTTATTGGGATGAAGAGAAGGAGGGGTTTCCAGAGCGCTGCTATTAGGCATACTTATAGTCCTGTTGCCACGGGCTGCTCAGGTGAGCACACGTCAATTTGGCTCTTAAGGCCAGGCTTGTGGTCGCCGTATCGGTGCGACGTGTCTCTGAGGCTATGTATCCTCCGCCTGGAACATCATGAGACCTCTGTAAGTGCCCATGATACACCTTAATGGATACTATTTTCTCAGCCTCATTGATACCACGTAGGGTGGAGCGAGGGACATGTTACTACCCATCATGTAGTCTGGACGCGTCACCTCAAGTGTCATTTCAACATCATCAATCTCAGTTTCAAAAAGTCATAGGGACAAAGGGAGGCTTTCAGTTATAGCTATTTTTTAATTGCCTCTTGTTGATTCGTAGTCACTTGCTGTGGTGGGTCACGGCAGGCTTTACTCTGTACTCGAAAGTCAACATAAACACAGGCAGAACGCCCAACCGTAATATTTCCGAATTCTCATCCGGGACCTCTGAATTAATGGATGAGACACTACCAATCGCGAGAATGCCATATGAAGAAAGCTCAATATCGGATCGTTTATGTCTTGGACGCTTGTTCACCTTTATTGCATCACTGCAAGACAAGTGCAGACGTCTGTGACCATTATCTAAGATACTCATGCTTACTGAGCATGAAGTGACCATAGTCATGGATGGCCATCTCAGTGAACATGAGCTTTCTTAACGGCGACCTGAATCTTTCCCTATCTGCTTTGAGGATTTGCAAAAGTCTGTCTTCCCGCCAATCGACGCGATAATAGATCCCGGGTCATCGTAATTACAAAAACTATATCGGAATAGCTCCCACATACATTATACAAGTAACCTATATATAAAATAAAGTTCAAACAGATTCAAAGATACAAATCCTCAAATTATTGGCAAGTGACAATATATTGATCCAATATTTCGAAAGTTCAACACAGCCGTTCTAGTCGGGTTGGCTCGACTCAAGATGCTGCAGTCTCATTGGGCAGATGGCCGAGTTGGTCTAAGGCGTCACGTTAAGGCCGTGATCTCTCCGGAGGCGTGGGTTCGAATCCCACTCTGCTCACTTAGCATTGGTGGTTTAGTGGTAAAATTAACCGTTGCCATCGGTTAGCCCCGGGTTCGATTCCCGGCCAATGCATTTCTCACAGCACAGATGGTCGAGCGGTCTAAGACGTGTGACTCAAGTTCACATCTCGCAAGAGGCGTGGGTTCAAATCCCACTCTGTGCATTATGCCGCGGTAGCTCAATTGGTAGAGCGTGCGCCTTTTAAGCGCAAGGTCCGGGGTTCGAGCCCCCGCCGTGGCGTTTAGATGGCTTCTTTTTTTTTATACCTGTTTCCACCGCTGTCGGCGTTTTACTTATACTTTTACGCACATGGATGTAGTAGTAGTGTCGCCGTTTTACTTTTACTTTTACGCACATGAATGTAGTAGTAGTGTAGGTATGTCCGATAATCACAATCTGCGTATTCAGGCCAGACTTATTTGATGCAACGGAGCCCAGTCTCAGCCTGTTAAATCCCGTTCATAGTCAACCAACTTAATATTTTTGTTTGCTTCTAAGAATCTTTCGATTCCTTGAAGCTAAGCTAAGATGAAATAAAACACCTTACTGATCCTTGACCTCGCGAGCTTGAAACAAAGGACTTTACTGGGTACAGCCCTGACCGCGAGCATTTGCTCACGGCGTCTTTCTTTGTATTATTTATTGTTATTTTGAGATGCTTTCTCATCTGCTTTGGGTTTCAATAAATATTAATTAAATAAATAAATAAATAAATCATTTTGGTGTTTGTTTCACTCAGCAGTCCGAGTGTCACACAGCTGTGGGGAGGTTGCTGGCACGGACACAGTGTCTGTGCGACGTGATTGGTGGATGGCTGCTGTCCTCCTGTGGCAGGATAAGGCGTGGATGGATGGCAGGGACATGTCCAGACAGTGATTGACTGGCTGTCTGTCTTTTACCGTTTACAGTTGGGGTGAGACGGTATCGCTCGAGTCCGTCTTTTGCCCTTCTTCTTGCCGTCTCGCTGGACTGACTGACTGACTGACTGACAGACAGACAGGGTGAAAGAACACCTCGACACCGCCATGGACCCAACCCGCCCTCAGCAGGTGCCCATCGACGGTAATGCATCCGCTGCAGACGCTGGAGGAGGGGTTGAGGGCAAGTACGCCAAGCGTCTCTCCTACCTCACAGAGCTGGAACGGAACGCCCATGACCTTACCGCCCGCGTGCAAAAAATGAGATCCGTGCATGAGTCTATGGTCACTGGCAAGGCCTCAAACTATGTTTTCAGTGATGACCCGCCCTCTCCTTCTTCCGCTCATGGCGATGAGCCGACGAGTGGTCGAAGGACTTCGAGACGGCCTTCTTCCAGTGCTGGGAGTTATGCTTCTGTCACAACGCTGGTTGAATCTCCAACCATTGGAGGGGTGGGGTTCTTTTCAGGAAGGGAGGAGGAGGGCAAGAGTAAGAGAATCTCGGTTGGAAGCACTGGGAAGAGGGCCTCCATGGATTTTGCGGTTGAGGATGGGAGGAGGTCTTCGGGACTATTCGAGACAAGCATTTCAATGGACCGCCAGGGAAGCTCTGGCTTGGCCAGTTTGGTTTCATCTTTGGCTGGTAAGTTGTTCATGTTAACTTCTTTTTTCTCCTGTTTTTTGAAGAGGAGATGCTGAGTGGTGACATCTTGTTAAGCAGACGTTTTTTTGGGGGGTTGTTTTTTATCGTCTTTACCTCTATCTCTGCTCCAGTTTATGTCATGCCTGACCACTCCTTCGTTTTCTGTTCATCTCCCCTTCTTTGCCCATTTATTCTTTGCCCGTTTAAACAGAAACGGCCGAGCGTAAAGCCGCAAAGAAATCCGCCCCGCCACCCATGCCTGACAAGTCTTGGCCAAAGGTCCGAGAGCTCGTCAAGAGTCTCGAGAAGAAGAAGGCCCCGGATGGTGAGTTGCCTTATCACTTTTGAATTTTTACTTTGTCTCTACTCCCGCTTCACCATCTTTTTCACCTTTCTAAGCTTAAATATACCCTTTTTGCCCCTCTCCCCCCCCCCCCCCCCCCAAAAAAAAAAAACCTAACGAAAAACAATTGGAAAACAATTTAGCACCAGAATCACCAACTAGCCCCTCTCCACCTCGCCAAAAACCTGCCAATGCCCTTCGATCGTTTTTAACACGACCCACGGACAAAACCCGTCCAATCTCTCTCCCTCCGCCTCCTGCTCAATCCTCTTCTTCCCAATCAAAACTATCAGGCCGTCCAATTTCTCTACCGCCACCACCTTCCATGACCGTCAGCTCATCATCATCATTATCACAATCATCCTGCAATATTCCACTACCTCCCAGCACGATTAAGTCATCAACATCATCATCCTACACCATCCCACCACTAGCCCACACTCCATTTTTGACGTCGTTGTTGGAAGGGCCAACGCCTTCCGGTAGCGGACGAGCTTTGTCGGTCGGGTCGATTGGGGTTGGAGTTGTGATGGGCCGAACGGGATCCGTGGCGGAGATTTCGAGACGGCTGGAAGAAAAGTCGAAGACTGCTCAGTCCCCGCCTGTTTCTCCCATGAGGAGCTCGGAGGGTTCGAAGAGTGGGAGTTTGGGTACACCCAGTGCTTCGCCGCCCAGGAGTGTTAGTGAGAGGAAGGAGGGGCTTGTGAGGGTCAGTGATACCCCTTTGACGCCTGTTACCTCTCCACCGAGGGTTGTGGATGAGGTGGTGTGTGATGGAGAGGAGAAAAAACAGGGTGCTGTGAGGGCTAGTGAAGCCGTTTTGACGCAAATCGTATCTCGGAGGGTTGCTGATAAGGATGGGGATGATAAGGAGAATGACACGAAGGCTTTACCTTTGATACCTTCCTCTGAAATGCCGATGTCGCCTAGACTCTCGAGGAGTCGATCGATGGCGCAGATTGGCCGTGGAGGGTTGATGGTCGTTACGAATGCCAGTAGTAGAGCCGCGAGTCCGCCTGGTAGTGATCTGATTGCTAGTGCCGGTGGACAGGAGAAGAGGGAGCTTACGAAGAGATATTCTACACCTGAGTTAGGTGGGGCATCGTTGTCGGTGAGTATTTTATTTATTCTCTTTCGTACTATGATACCTATTTTCTCTGTTTTGTCTACTAATAAATTTATCTGTTAGCACTTTTTCACTCCACCATCGTTCCTTCGCGCAAGACGAAGGTTCTCGGGATCCACTACCCCTACTTCTCCTAGTGGAGTCATGTCCCCACTCGAAGCCGTCATCGAGACTTCTTCTCTTGCTCAAAACGATGATACACCCCCCGCCCCTTCTCCTCCTCCCGATAACATTGAGCCACCCCACCTTTCTGAGTCAACCGTCACTGCCACCACTCTCACACCTCCTGCCCATGATAGGCTTTCCGCCCACATGGAACCCCCCAGAAGACACAAGGTAGTTTTGGAGCAATATGAAATTGCCATGACGGCTTTGGAGGATGTCGTTGCGGATGGGGAGGACGCTGTGTCGTCACCGGTCTCGGTGAGGGAGGATGACGATGCGACGCTGTCACGGGTGTCTTCGTTGTCTTCCTTTGAGGCTTTGAGTGATAGTGAGCCTCTTGTCACGCTTGCGGAGTTGGAGGCGATGAGAGACGAAGGTTCCGTGCCTGTTGGTAGTGCTGATGGTGTGCTTCGGGACTGGATGGAAGGGGATTTGGAGGATGGTCGTGTTGGGGTAAAGGATGGTGCATTAGAAAGGGTTGGGGAGTTTGCGGCTCTCACGGTTCAACGAGAGGCTCTAGTCTCGCACGCTGCTCAGGCGGAGAATGGAACGCCTTTGTTGGGATTGGCTTCTGTGTCTAGGGTTGACGAGCACCGGGAGCCGGCTGAGTTGAAGTCCGTGGAGACCATTGCTGAAGAGTTAGACGCCGTTGATGCTTGGGAGGCATCGAAGCTGGAGTCCATGGCTGCGATTACTGACGGGTTAACGGTTGTTGATGAGATGCTTAAGCAGGAGTCTAGGGTAGCCGCCGTTGAGGAGCTGCCTGCAGTCGATGCTCGTGAGCCTTCTGAGCCGGAGGCTACGGCTGTCATCTCCTACGAGTTCCCTGCCGTTGACGGTGCTCTTGGCAGTAGATCTGACGACGATAATGCGGCTAAGCTTGCGCCAGCTGAGTCTATGACCGTTTCGCCTGTGTTGGGATCGGGTTCCCTGGCTAGGGAAGAAGTGCACCCGGAACCGTCTAAGCAGGAGTCGACGGCTGCGATTGCTGAAGAGTCAGCGGTTATTGATGCTCGGGAGGCATCGAAGCTGGAGTCCATGGCTGCGATTACTGACGGGTTAACGGTTGTGGATGAGATGCTTAAGGAAGAGACTAGGATAGCCACCGTTGAGGAGTTGCCTGCAGTCGATGCTCGTGAGGCTTCTGAGCCGGAGGCTACGGCTGTCATCTCTTACGAGTTACCTGCCGTTGACGTTGCTCTTGGCAGTAGATCTGACGACGATAATGCGGCTAAGCTTGCGCCAGCTGAGTCTAAGACCGTTTCGCATGTGTTGGGATCGGGTTCCCTGGCTAGGGAAGAAGAGCGCCCGGAACCGTCTAAGCAGGAGCCGACGGCTACGATTGCTGAGGAGTCAGCGGTTATTGATGCAGAAGAGCCATCGAAGCTGGAGTCCATAGCTGCGATTACTGACGGGTTAACGGTTGTTGATGAGATAGATGAGATAAATGAGCAGGAGTCTATAGCCACCGTTGAGGAGTTGCCTGCAGTCGATGCTCGTGAGGCTTCTGAGCCGGAGGCTACGGCTGTCATCTCTTACGAGTTACCTGCCGTTGACGTTGCTCTTGGCAGTAGATCTGACGACGATAATGCGGCTAAGCTTGCGCCAGCTGAGTCTATGACCGTTTCGCCTGTGTTGGGATCGGGTTCCCTGGCTAGGGAAGAAGAGCACCCGGAACCGTCTAAGCAGGAGTCGACGGCTGCGATTGCTGAGGAGTCAGCAGTTATTGATGAAGAAGAGCCATCGAAGCTGGAGTCTATGGCTGCCGTTGCCGTGGAGGTATCTGCTGTTGACAATTATGAGGTCATCCTCCCGTCTTCTGAGCCGGAGGCCATCGCTGCCACTCCCGCGGAGCTGGCCGCATTAGATGCCCCAGAGCCTTCTGAGCCGCGGCCCATAGCTGCGATTGCAACGGAGTTAGCGATTGCTACTGCAGAGGAGTCGTCTAAGCTAGGGAATGCGGATGCCGTTGCTGAGGCGTTAGTCGCTGTTGATGCTCGGGGGCCTTTTGAATCGGAGCCAAAAGCTGCTTTTGCTGAGGAGTTG